TCAATGATCTTCGGCAGTCACCCTGGACAGGCTTGCCACCGCTTCCTCCCAGCTCCCCGACATCACCACCTGCCCCTCTGAGCCACCCAGGCCACCCAGGCCACCCCAGACTCATGAGTTCATTTCAGCAACCCACTTGACCTCTCTCTTGGGTCAAGTAAACACTTCACATTGAATCTTTTTCAAACTGATCTTTCCCTGAATCCTCTCCTGCTCTCTTGTCATCTTGGCTAATGGCAAACCCTCCTGCTTTGGAGGTAGTCGAGACTCTGGTGTCTTCCTGGCCCTAGCCCCAGCCCTGACATCCAGTTCATCCACCCCTCCCCCCATTCCATTCTTGTCATCTTATCATCTGTGCCTAACACGGTGGCCAGGTCATGTCAGTCTGCTGCCCAGAAGGACACCCTGGCTTCCGCCTCACTCGGGGCTCACAAGATGCTCTCTTCTGCCCCCTTTTCTCTGGCACTCCAGGGAAATTCCACCTCAGGCCCTTTGCACATACCATTTGCAGCACGTGCAATGTGCCATGCCTAGGTGTTCAAGCATATCCACCACCCCCTGCCTGCAGGTTTGGCTCACATGGTTCATCTCTCCCCCTCCCCATGCTTTCCCGAGCTCTCTCTCCTCTGCTTCATTTCTCTCTGTGGGGATCACTGCGGTCTGGGAGGGTGGGGTTTCGACCCCCTTGCTCTCGCTGTGTCTGTAAACGCTCACACCGTGCTGAGCGGCAGTAAATACTCCTCCCCGGGGCTGAGGTAAGCAGCTCTGAGAGGGGCGAGTTGAATAGGTTCTCGGGAGCAGGGGTGGGGTGCTTGGCCCTCAGAGGGTCAGGCAGTGGGGGAGCTGACCTTGACCCGGTCACATCCCCTCATCTGCAGGTACCATGTTTACGGGGCCTGTCCCCAGTCTGCCCAGTGACTGTGGTCTGCTGTGTTAATAGGCTCTTGTTGGACACCAGGATCGTGCCATATCCATCAGCTGTGTGTTTTCTGTAGTGTCTCTAAATTATGTGTTCAACGGTGGGATGGCCTTGGCCCGTCTTCTTACTAGTTTCGCTGTTACATCGCTCCGCCTCTGTGACTCCCGCATCCCCTGTTCTCGGAAGGCCCTGGAGAGGCTCAGGTGTGACCGCCGCCGCTCTTTCTTGTGTGTGGTTCCGTGTGCTGGTGTCGCTTACCGGGGACCCGTGGGGCTGAGCAAGAAGGTGGTCACCAGGAGGCCCGAGTGTTGGCCTTGCACTTGCGGCAGACTTCTGCACCCAAGCGCTTTTCCTCTCAGGGCTACGCCCAGTCCCGTGCCCACTGGGTGAGGGGAGAAATGTCCGTCGTACGCCCTCAGCTCCCTGGGCCCAGCACCCAGCAGGTGGCGGCTCCCTGCTCCGTTAGGCAGAAGGTCCGGTGTCCGGGGTCGCTCGAGAAGCCTCCGTGCAGCCAGGGGGCAGTTGGGGGGACGTGGAGGGCGCTGATGGGGGCAAATACGGAGAAGTGAAGGGACCGGAGGCAGGTGGGGAGGGTGTTTGCGGTTCCCAGTGGAGTGCTGAGGGCACGCTCACGGAGGGGGATGCCCTGGAGCAAGAACTTGAAGGAAGGAGGGGCAGGGCCGCCCCGCGTAGACTCCCTGGAGTGCCGGCAGAGGCCAGTGCCCGCTGCCGCCCCCAGAGATGCTCGTGTCATGGGTGTGGTGTGCAGACCGGGCCTCCTGGTGAATGCAGACAGTGGCCGGGGCTGAGGGCCGCGGGGGGAGGGCCGTGCATGGACGCGTGTGTCATCGCCCCAGGAGCATCCCACATGTGTCTCGGAAGGCGAAGCGCCTCACATCCTGGTCCCCGGGCTCGGCGGGCCCGCAGGGATGGCCTCTCTTTACAGATGGGGAGGCCGAGGTTCGGAGCCTAGGGGGCAGGGAGGGGCTTCCCCCTGGGCCACCCAGCCAGCGAGGACGAGGACCGGGACTGACAGCCATGCTGCCGCTGGCTCGGGATGTGTCACAGCTTCTGGCATCCCTTCACTTGGCTGGCCCCTTGCGTCCGCACCGACTGCCCCTGTGTAGACACCGCTCACATGGATATACTCGCCGGCCGGCATGTCCGGTGCTGAGAGCGTCCTCTAAGTGTAATCAGCACAACCACCCAGTGGCATTACTCTTGCTCCCGTTTTGCAGATGGTGAAACCGGAGCCCAGAGAGGCCCCTGACTTGCCCAGCTCACACAGCCAGGAACCTAGAATCAGGTCTTCGTGTGGTAGCCACGGCTGTCTGAGAACAGGAGAATTGTCTGGGTCCGCAGACACTGTTCCTCAGCACCTGACACCTCCGCTTAAGGCCGCCCCTGGTCTCTCTAGAGTTCTCTGACCACAGGAAGCATTTCATGGTCAAGGAAGGAGACTGTCCCGCTGGACATCACTGCCCTAGACACTTAAGTTGTGACCTGGTGTCTCCCCAGAGATTGTGGTCCGTGGAGCTGAAAGCCCTGGGCTCTGCTCCCCCAGGAAAGTCTCCGAATCTCTGTGAGCCTCAGTGTCCTCATCTGTGAAATGGGTATAAAAAGTGCATTTTCTCCTCATCTCTTGAGCTGCTGGGAGGGTATGGCGATAACAGCCCAGAAAGTACTTGGGAATTACAAGGGCCATGTGCATGCCAACTGGGGTTGCCCTCACTGGGCCAGGCCGTGTGCTGAGAGGTGGTGAGAGGAGTCTGCCTAGGGGGCCTTTACCCCTGACCATAAACTCTACCAACCACAGGATGCCCAGGGCTGGGGAGAAAGCCTGCCCCCTAGTGGAAGTGGCTGTGGTTGCCTCGGCTGCAGGAGCCTGTGGGCGAGGGAGCAGAGAAATGTCAGACGGCAGGTGGCTAGAGACCAGGGGACATAAGTTTGTTGGACTGATCAGATTTTTGAGCATTTAAAAGTTGTGAAATGCTGGTAACAGAGAGGGAGACGTGGAAATTGATGATGCAGACCCTGCCTCTCTTCAGAGCTGCTGCTCATTCTGTTCCTGTGCATTAGCGACGTTTCTGCAGATAGGGGGCAGTGTAGGGGCCCCGGGCAGCTGGCTGGGACTGTTCTTTCTTCCCCAACAGGCCCAGGGCATCCCAGATTTCCAGGCAGCCTCACAATAGACTGTCCCTCCCACAGGCAGGTCGGCCGGCTGAGGGGCTGAGTTCACACTGGGCACAGGCTTGCCGCTGAGCATGGGGTGTCCTTTAGTTTTCTGCCTTGAGTCTTGCTTGGCTAGTAGAAGCAGCTGACCGCAGACCTCGATCACACAGCGGTAGGAGGAATCCACACGGGGCAGCCCCGCACCTTGACCGAGAGTTAGGCCCTCGCTTGTCTGTTTACATGTTTGTTTATACGTTCACTTACTTCGTTTATTGTAATAGGTATTTTCTGATAGCTGCTTCTGCCAACTTTGATGAGATTCACTTTTCGGATCATTCTCTGCCCCGGGGGCTATCCCTAGCACTGTGGAGTGTTTGACAGCATTCCCTGACCCCATCCACTAGGTGCTGTAGCATCGTCCCTCCCCTCGGAGGTGACCACCAAAAATGTCTCCAGACACTGCCAAGTGCTTGTGCTTGTGCTTGTGAAGAACCACTGATCTAGGGGCGCCCGGGTGGCTCAGTCGTTAAGTGTCTGCCTTCTGCTCAGGTCATGATCCCGGGGTTCTGGGATCAAGCCCTGCATTGAGCTCGCTGCTCAGTGGGAAGCCTGCTTCTTCTCCCTCTCCCTCTCTCCCTGCTTGTGTTCCTTTTCTCACTGTGTTTCTCTCTCTCTGTCAAATAAGTAAATAAAATAAAATAAACATAACCACTGATCTAAACCCTGATGTGTCAGCTTCGAGACTGGCCCCATTCCCATCTCTTGCTCCCTCAGGCACAGCTGACTCTGAGCCAACATCTGACAGGGGTGAGGCTCACCTTTCCCACTTTCCCGCCCACCTCACCTTCCTCCTCTCCTGACCGGAGGGCCTGCTCACTTCTGTCTGGGGAACAGATTTGGGACCTGGGACAAGTTCCTTAGCCTCCTGTGACCTGTTTCCTCATGTGCAGTCTGGGCGGGTACAGTAGGCGCCTTGCTAGGGGTACGTAGTGTAGGAGAGTTGTATGTGTAAGTATTTAGCACGTTGTCAGCGTGCATGTTGTTCTTATCAAACAGCTGTTTATTTTTGCTGTGCTAAGGTGGGGGTGCGTCAGTGAATAGGACAAAAGCCCTGACCTTGGGATTTCATAGCCCATGAGGGAGGCAGGTACATTATCCCGCCATTGTGATTCAGTGTAATGAGTGCTGTGGTGAGAAAGTGCGAGGGGGCAGTGGGAGCCTGCAGGAGGGCTGCCCCATGTGGGAGTTAAAGAAGGAAGGCTTCCTGGAGGAGGTGGTATCCCAGCCAGGACCTGAAAGATGAGTCTGGGTTAGCGAGGTAAAAGAATGGGGTCTAGGTTATCTCTCTTTTAAAAAATCCTTAAATGCTTTCCTGAAAAAAAAAAAAAAAAAAAAATCTTATTGAATGGGCTCTGGTAGCAGAAAGGGCCAGACTGTGTCATGGGATCCAGGCTCACACCCCCTCAGGGATGCCCAAAATGAAAGTGCTTGGTGCAGTGAGGCTGGGATAGGGGGCCAAGTGCAGAGCTCCTGGCCTGGAGGAGATCACTGCAGGGGATGGATGTAACATGGTACCGGAAACCTCCCCAGATGCTTCCAAGGAAGGGCCAGTGCCTGGGAGGCAGCTGGGGCACAACACAGCTGCTGTGTCTGCACAGCTGGGCTCCATTTCCAGCTCGCCTGTCCCTCTCTGGGGCTCGTCTGGACAGCGCTATGCAGTGCAGTGTCGCAGAACCCGGCGGGGGTTGCTTCTGCTCACCCTGTACCTTGCAAGGGGAGGGAAGGTGGTGGGCAGAGCTCAGTGGAACTCATGTGGGTCATTAAAGCCCACATCCCGTGGGCCTCGAGGTGCCATCCGGGGCTGGTGGGGGGCCCTGCTGATGGTGTATATCGTTCCTCTCCCCAACAGCTACAGTCTCCGCCTGGCATCCCGGTGCCCTCCGCCAGCTGCCCCGTACATCACCAGGCAGTGTAGGAATGTCAAGGCCACAGCGGCAGCCCAGTTCCAGGGAACCCTCTTCAAAGAGTAGACACTTCGCCTGCTCCCTGACAGGTACGAGGAGGGTGGGGTCGAGGGGCACCAGGCTTGGGTCTTGGGGTGGGCTGGGAGGCAGGGAAGAGGGGGAACATGATCGCCTGGGTGCTGGGGGGGCGGTCACCGGGCCTTAATGCAAGCAGGTGTGGATCCCAGCCCTGTCACTCCCTGGCTATGGGACTGCCACAAGGTACTCAGTCTCTCTGAGCCTCGATTTCCACATCAGTAAAATGGGGATGACAGAATTACAAGTGTCACGTGTATGCAAAACAGGTAGAAAGTGCCTGGTGCACAGAAAGCACTAGCAGTCACTAGCTGTTTTAGGACTAGCAGTTAGCCGTGACTGTTGAATAAGAATGGCAGGGACAACCACAATAGCCAGCACTTACTCGAGACTTCTAGAGGCTTTAAGCCCACAGAAGATTGTGTGGTCTTTACTCCCACAATGTGTTTGAAAGTGAAAGTAACAGTATTCTGCAAATATAAAATGTAAACTTATGTTGAACCAGAAGTCTCTCTCTAGATTTTCTGATGGTAAAACCTGAATTCCATCATAGAAGCTGGACTTTCCCTCTTCGGGGGGGGCTGGGCTTGGCCAGTGAGCTCTACCAGGCCTGGACTTCTTTGTTGGTGACGTGGCGTGTCTTCTGTCACTGTGTCCCTGAGACGGTGATGGGAGGACCCCACGTGCCAGGACACGGGGGCACCAGTTAAAAATACAGACCCCAAGGTGCAACTCCAAGCTTACTAAACAAGCATCCTGGTGTGCAGGGCCTGGGAATCTGTATTAGCAGGTGGCCCCATGATTCTGGGACACATCCAGGTATGGGGATCCCTGCTTAATGCAGCCAAGGCTGTTGAGGATGAGAACACAGTTGTTTCGGGCAAGAATGGGCTGAACTCTGAAACTTTGGGGTCTTCTGTCCTGTACGTTCCTCCCTTTGCCTGTCCTGCTACATGGAGGGCTCACTCACTCCTCCCTTCCTGAAGCTGCTGGAGGCTCTGGGCTTTATTTCTCTGGGGATCAGGGAGCGGCATGGAAACAAAATCCGCTTTCTCCAGGGACTCTGTTGTCTTGAGCCAGAACTCAGCCTGTGTCTCCAGAATAAGGTCCAGAGAAGGCACGTGCCCCTGAGCCAGAATGCTGGGGAGCAGAGTTGAAATGTGCGCAAGATGCAGAACTGGAAGGCCCCGAGAGGAGAGGCCCCAGGATAGTTCTGGATCCCGGCACGGCCCCGGGCCCCTCCCTGTGGTGGCTGCTGCCGCGTGGACGTCTGTGTTGATGGGCGCCAGGGTGTGGCCTACAGCCCAGAGCAGGTGTTCTTTGTGGCCCAAGGCCGAGCCGGGCATAGCTGGATTGATTGCGCCATGGACTGGGCCGTGACCGTCGGCCACTGCAGTCTCTGGTGGCGATGCGGGGTTTGCGATGCGGGGTTTGCCGAGCACTGCTAATTCAGGCTCTGCCCCCGGGGCTGGGGCATGACCCTGGAAGGATGCCTTCTCTTCCCATACTAGCAGACATGTGCGGCTTCTCCAGCAAGGTGCTCAGATGAGTAGAGGCCCAAAGTAATTTGTGTCTGTGACTGATTTATTTATATTTATATATATATATATATAATTTAAAATTATATGTGATGTAATTTGTGATATATGATTTATATATATATAATATGATTTAAAAAAACACCGTACTTACACTGTTTGTCATAGCTCAGGCTGCCTAACAGAGTGCTATGGACTCTGGGGCTTAGACAAGACATTTACTTCTCACGGTGCTGGAGGCTGGGCCTCTGAGCATCTGAGGTCCGGGCGCCAGCATGGCTGGGTTCTGGTGAGGACCTTCTTCCTGGCTTACAGGGGCCCTTGTCTTGCTGTGTCCTCAGTAGTGGAGAGAGGAGGCTCTGGTGTCTCTTGTGAGGTCACCAAACTGGTCATGGGGGCCCCTACCCTCCTGACCTCATCTAAACCTAACACCTTCCAGAGGCCCCACCTCCAAATCCCGTCACGCTGTGGGTAAGGGCTTCCATATATGAATATGGCCGGGAAGAGGGGCAGTTCCACGTGTTTCCAGAATGATTTTTTAAGTGCTGTGACAGAGGACTTTAGCATGGGAAAGATGTGTGCGTCAAAATCCCCATTTCACAGGGAGGGAGACAGACACAGGGGCAAGTGGAAGAACTGGAGGCAGAACTGGAGGCATCTGACTCCCCGAATGGAGAGAGGACTCCAGGGGCTCTGTGCTGCTCCCCTCAAAGTCGTATGCCGAACTGTTGTGCTTATGGGGTCTGTTTTGGGGAAAGAGTGATGTCCTTGGAGCGCCCAGGCCCTGGGACTGTGCCTTCCCTGCCGCCCTTGCTCGCTTAGAGGCTCTGGCTGGTTAACTCAACACTCTGAACCCAGTGAGGAGCTCGCCTTTTCTCCACTGCTGACTTCTCGTGTGCCTCCCTGCTCTGGCCTTTATCAATGTCGTGGGCAAAGCCCGGGGCTTTCTGTTCACTTTTTGGCATAAAACACACCACCCTGTCTAGTCCTGTGACAAAGTGCCCCAGCACGTGCTCTCTGTCTCTCTCCATTGCCAGAGGCCAGCACACTTGGGCCCTGGGGTCTTTTGAGGGGGCTGTCCAGGGACGAGCCTGGTGTCTCTCACTCACCTGGCTACTTCCATGATTTTCCCCTCGGCTGCCGCTGGCTTTGGGGCAGGCTTCCCAACTATGGTTGTCTCCTGAGGTTCTAGGGGCTGGGTGGGGTGATAAGAACCCTCCCCCTACCCGACAGCCTCTGCTTCCCTCCAGCCCCAGTGGTCCAACCCACAGCCCCTGCTGCTCCTTGGGCTGGGGATAGGCAGACTGGCTTCTTTTGTGGATCCCACTCGATGACCTGCAGGTGACACACACCAGCCACACCAGATGGAGGAAATGCAGGCCACTCCTACGGCTGGCCCCTGTCTCTGTGTTCTTTTTCTCCCCCAGCTCATTTGGGGCACATACAGGCCTCCACTAGGAAGGGAGGCCCCTGTTTCTTTAAGGTACCCTCATATAGTGCCCCATCAAGAGATTTTGGGGGGGGGTTTGAATGGACCTAGTGTAGTGGTTTAAGTGTGCATTTTCTGGAGGTGAATCCAGCAATCTTGGTAGGTATTTCACTTCTCTGTGTTTCAGTTTGCCCATCCGCAAAATGGGTTACTAGTGATATTTGTCTCATGGGTGTACCATAAGGGTGGTGCAGGTTAGTATATGAAAAGCCCTTAGGAAAGCGCCTGCCTGGTATGTCATAAACCTGCAATCAGTTGGCATTGCTATTATCGTTGTTCTCAGCGATAGAAGTAATAATAGAGTAATAATAATACTAGTTAGTGGTTGGAGTGGCAGTTCTAGCAATGATGACCAGGTCCACGGGGTGAGAGAATGGAGCGCCTGAATTTGGCCCAGCACGACGCCAGGCTCATCTTCAGGCTTGGGCAGCAAATGTTACTAAGTCCTGACCGCCCCCCAACCGCCCCCGTTCCTGGCTCAGTGTCAGGGACTGTGGGCGGGGTTTCTGTGGCCGAGGCACGCAGGAGAAGTTCCCCCCGAACCAAAAGCACTCACAGGCTCTGAAGTGGGCTTGACCCGGTTCAGGTCCCATGGCTGCCACTTGTCATCAGCCTGACCTTGTAAAAATCACTTGTCCTCTCTGAGCCTCTATTTTTTCCGTGCCAAATGGGGATCTGGGGATCTGTGTCACCTGCCGTGAGGGTCGTTGGAAGCATTAGAATGAAATCAGGTGGTGATGTAGTTGACTGTGGCAGAGTCTTTGGCAGGATTGATTGAAGTGAACATCTGTGTCCCCGGATCCAGTAGTTACACCACCAGGGAGACACGCGGCAGGAATGCGTGTGCATGCACGCCAGAACCCACGCACGGGAGAGGTCATACATTATGTGTGCACACCCTACCGCCCAGTACTTCTGCTTGGATGAAGTGTGCACGCATGTGCCCCACACGTGTCCTCCAGACATAGATAAGTGTGACTCAGGGTGGCCCCAGATTGGAAACTGCCCACTTGTCCTTGGCAGTGGACCAGCTAGATGAAGGAGGCACGATCCTCCAGCAGACTCCTGTAGCAAGGAGGTGGATGGAACTGCACGCACGGGCCCGGGAGGGTTGGATCACAGACATGTGCAGAAGGAGCCAGGTGTGAAGTATACGGACGGATTGATTCCATTTATTTTAGTTAAAAATGGACAAAATCAGTCTATGGTGATAGAGGTCAGAGTGTTTATTCTGGGGGTGAGGGTTAGCAGTGGTCCTAGAAGAGAGCCTGGGATGGGGGAGAAGGGGAGGTGGGTCATGTTCTGTTTCCTAGTGGGAGCTGCTCATGCAGGTGTGTTCACTGTGAACATGCATCAGACTGTGCTTTTCTGTGTGTCAGTGGTGTACCGCAGTCGATCCTTTTATTTTTCATTTTTTTAAAAGATTGTATTAATTTGTCAGAGAGAGAGAGAGAACGAGAGCAGGCACATGAGCACAAGCAGGGGAGACAGCAGCCAGAGCAGGCAGAGGCAGAAGCAGGCTCTCCACTGAGCAGGGAGCCCGAAGCGGGGCTCGATCCCAGGACCCCGGGATCATGACCTGAGCCAAAGGCAGACACTTAACCCACTGAGCCACCCAGGTGTTCCACGGTTAGTCCTTTACTTGTAAAAATGAAGTGAGGTGAGGCTTCAGCAGCCCAGGGTAGGCACTGAGGATGCGGCCACTGTTACCGTTTTTCTTTTCTTTTTCTCCTCAGCACCTGAAGTGACCTGGAATCAGTGAAGCCAAAGGGACCGGCCTTCTGCCCTGCAGGGAGTACCGACCTATTCCACTTTCATGAGCCTGCGAGAGAGAGGAAGAGTGCGTGTGCGTGTGCGTGTGCGTGTGCGTGTGTGTGGTCTTCAGACGGGGGTCCCAAACCCCAGGGAGGCAGGAAGGCAGCTGATTCCACACAATGGATGACACTTGGGTGCAGCCGCTGGGACCGTGTTCTGCAGCTCAGCCTTCCTGCTGGGGGCGGGGGGCCTCTCCTACTATGCAATTTTTCAAGAGCTCCTTGATCCTGCTTTTTGCTTCTCGAATTGTCTTTTGCCGTGGCGGGGACTATGGGCTGGCTCAGGGGTCGGCTCCAGTCCTGTCTGAGGAAGGCCTTCCAGAGGAGGCCGAGTTTCCCTTTTAACCACCCCACCTTCCCCAGCCTTCCACCATCTCTGGGAATCAGCGGCGTGTGGACGTGTCGGACCCTTGCTGATCGACCCCGTTGGCCTGCGCACTTTGAAAACCCCTTCTTTGCCTGAGCTGCTGGCTTGAGTCGTTTTCCAGATTTAAAATTCTACTCAGTCCATTTCGGGAGAAAGTCCCTGTCCCCATTTGCAGATCTGGTTCCTCCCTTGAGAGAGGCGGGGGATGGGACAGCATGTGGGGGGAGGGGAAGGGCTCCCCCCCCCCCCCCCCCGCACCCCTCCCTGCCGTGCTTCTTTTGCCTCCCTTGGTGGGACCATCAACACCTTTAGCCGCTGACCTCCTCAGATTAGCTGAAAAGGGAAACAAAAATTGGGAAATGAAAAATAAATTGGAGGATTAAGAAGCACAGGGGAGAGAAGAGATTTCCAGAGGCCAGTCGCCTGCCAGGGAATGATGGAGCTGGCTTCCGCTTTGCACGGGACCACTCCATGTCTCGGAGAAACGGGTGAGCTGAGCTAGGAGTTTGGACCCAGTTCAGTGAGGGTCTTGGGTTTTGTGCCTTTGGGGCAGGCCCTAGACACGGATGTCTGAGACCACTTTAGCGCTGTTTTCTCAGTTACTTCAGTCGTGATGTACTGAACCACAGTGGAAGGTCAGCACTTGGAAGGACGTGAGTGGTCACACACAAAAAGGGACTTTTTTTTTCAGGGCTACTATGGTTGATCTTGCAACTCTGTAAATATGTACGTAGACACTTTTAAAAGCACGTATTTATGTCCCTGACTGTAAATGCCCCCTTTTTAAAGTTTTATAACTTGTGTTATTTAATTAATCAGTCGACTGGCTGCAGTGTAGGGTCTGACGATGGTCTGGGAGGAAGGTCTCACGAGACCCTCACATGGGCAGAAAAGTGCCGATCGCTGGCCTCCATTCACAGTTTTCCAACTTGCCACCCAGCTCCAAACCATCATTTGTTTTCAACTTCCATAAGCTGGCATCCTTTTGCCCACTCCGAAAATTAACCCTCACAAGCATGAAAAGCTGTGGCTGTTCCTTATCCTAACGATACGGTTTTGTCCCATAAATGTCGACACTCACGAACTGTACCCCAGCCTCTCAGTACTGAGGGTTCCCCTTTGCAGCAGCAAGGAAGGCTCACGAATCCAAAGCTTCGAAAGTCACCTTCAACCGATGGTGAATTCCAGAAAATGTTGTGGGGGCCTGGGGGACACTCATTTTTTGCACGTGCAAATGTGTGGGTCAGCCTTCGACCCTGTCAGACCAGCAGAAAAGGCTACGAGTGTCCCATCACAAAGACGGAGGCGGGGGGTGGTCTTCTAAAGAGTGGTGTTTCCTGGTCAGTGGTGGTTTTTGGGCATGGGTGTGGATCACGGAAGAGAACGGTTCTGTATCTGCCATGTGAAGAAAATTAATAAAAGTGTGAAGCGCGATTGTAAGGAACAAGCCTGGGAGTGATCATTTTGGTTTCTGTGTTTTGGGTCCATTTTGGCAATTTCTGTGGGGTGGGGGTGGGTGGGTTGAAGCGGGCCCCGGAGGCCCCATTCCGACAATGAGAGCAACGCGAGGTTTCAAGGAAGCTCACTGTGGAAATATCCTGCCGGGTGAGCAAGGTTACTCTGTCCTCTGGTCACTCTCCCACCTGCCAGCCAGGAAGCTAAGCCATTTCATTGAAGCTAGACAGGCCTCTGTGACTGTAAATACATTCTCCTCTTTAGTTTTATTGTGATTGCTTTCACATACCGTACAGTGAACCCACATAAGTCAGTGTACAAATCAGGTTTGTTGGTTTTGTTTTTTTTGTTTTTTTTTTTTGTATATTCGGAGTTGTGCAACTGTCACTGCATTCAATTTTAGAACATCTTCTATCACCCCCAAAAGAAATCCCATACCCATTAGCAGTTGCTCCCGATTTCTCCCCTCGTTTGCCCTAGGCAGCCACAGGTCTACCCTCTGTCCTTAGGTTCGCCCTTCCTAGACATTTCATGTAAATAGAATCACACGGTGTGTGATCTTTTACGATCAGCTGCTTTCACGTGTTTTCGAGGAGTACCCAGGCTGTAGTACATATCAGCACTTCATTCCTTTTTATGGCATAATAATCCCATTGTATGCTTTTATTTGTGCAATATTTGGGACATAGTTACACTTAAAACAAGGCATCACTCATTGTTGATCTGGAACTCAACTGTGACAGGTGTGTTGGATCCTACCCGGTAAGTCTGCCTGTGCAGCAGTGACTCCAAGCCCACGGCTGACCTTCTAGGGACCATTTACTGTGAACTGCCATGGGCCAAATAGTCCCCGCACATTCATTTTTTCCTATCAGGGCAACCCAGCAGGAAGGGTACCTCGACAGCCATTTCACAGATGAAGGAACAGGCTAGACACCTTAAGCAATTTGTCCCGGGGTCACACAGCCGGCAGATGTAGGCTGGAACTGCATTCAGCCCTTTAGGGCCCAAAGTTCTGTGGTTCCTACTTGCCTCTTGCTGCCTCTGCTGCTGGTTCCTCCAGCTCTCCAGCCACCTGGCAGGTGGAAACATGACAACAGAGGTCAGTCTCCAGCTACCCAGAGCATAGCAGTCTGCTGCTGGACTTCGGCTCCACCCCAGATGCCTGGCCGGATGAGAAGCATATGTTTAAAACTATGGATTCTGTCCCAGGTGCGCTCCCTATTGGCCACGTGACCTTGCTTGGGCTCCCACTGGCCTCAGCTTGGTTCCTTTTTTGTACAAGGGGACGATCACCCAGCTTCCTGGATTCTAGCCACCACTGCATTTGGTTAAAGTTAACTTATCCCCCTCTGGGATCACCTGGCTGATTATTAAAGGAGAAATCCCTGGTCTCTACACCCCCCTAACCACCCCCCATCTGTTGCATCAGAAGCCCTGGGGGCGGGGTGTGTGCCAACGGGCCGACCAGCTCTGCAGGGCCCACTAACTTTAACGCCCGAAGCACGTCTGGAAACAAGCATCGGGGCCTCAGGCAGACCACTGAATCAAGGGTGCCCCAGGGATTTGCATCAAGCAGGGTCTCCGGTGCTTGTTCTGAGCGTCAAGCTGTGCCTGGCGCCAGGGCGGCGCCAGGGCACCGCCAGGACTGGGGGACGGGCTCCAAAGGCTCAACCCCGCCAGGTGCTGGGCAGGTCCTTAAGCCTGCCGGGGTGTCCCGCGGAGACCGCGGAAGCGCGGCGCTGGGGACGGGAGCGGGCCATAGGGAGCCCCCGCACGCCCTGCGCCGCTGCCGGGGGAAGGTTAGGACGTGGCGCCGGGTCAGGTTAGGGCGCCACGGCGCAGACTCCAGGGCTGGCCGCGTTCCGGTTGCCCGGGCAACCGTACCCCCGCCCTCGCCCTGGTGCTCCTCCTTCTGACGTCGAGTGCCAGGCCACGAGCAGCCTGACGCTGCGTCACGCTACGTCACGCTACGTCATGCGCCTCACGCCTCCGGGTCACGTGGCCATCTCCTGGTTCACGTCATCAGGGCAGGGGGAGCGCTGGGCCGGCAGGGGGAGCGCCGGGCCGGCAGGTGGCTTGGGAGAGAGCCGGAGCGCGCACCACGTTTCCTACAGTACGTGGCTCTGATTGTCTCACGGTGTTGTGACTTGTCAGTAACCCCGCATCGTGCGTGCTTTCTAACCGAAGCTTTCTGTCGTAATAACCCGAGCTTTCGCCCTGGTCTCTACCTGTGGGGAAGCGCGCAGTCGCTCTAGGGTCGGCTCCGCGTTCTCCCCGGAACATCAGGGGACGGCGGTGCGCACCGCTGGCCAGACCCAAGGCTGGCGCCGAGGAAGCTGGGCCACCGTCCTAGGCACCTTGGCGGGAGCAGGTGGGCGTCCTCCCTTGGCCCCCTCGAGGGTGCCCCTCGTTAATGCTGATGGAGGTCGAAAGGAGCCTGGAGGCTTCTGAGCCAGTTGGCAGAGCGGGTGGGTGCAGCGGGTCCCTTTGCTCCCTGCTCTGATGGGGGTGGCTTGGTGTCCGCCCCCCCGCTGAGGGGTGAGCTGAAGGCAGCCCCCGCGGTGGCAGGCCAGCTCCTGACTCGCCGGGCTCTGAGGGCGCAAGTTCTCCAGGGTGGGAGACTGGAAGCCTCAGACTGCCCCACCAGCCTTGCCATGGCTCAGCGGGAGGAGACCGCGGCTCCAAGAGGGCCTCCTGGCCCAGGGTCTGCCCCTTCTGTACAAGAAGCTGGCCGGTGGGGCATGAAGCGTCTAGTGGAAGGTGGCCTGGGCCCCAGGGATGGAGCACAAAGTACGTTTCTCTCTTCTGATCTGCCCTCCCACTCCCGCAGCAGGCTCAAATGAGGAGCAGGTTTGCTGGTGGGGGGAGGTAGGTCACGGTCATGTGACTTCCAGTCAGCGGACTTCCATGCTGGCCCCGGGGAAGGGGGCCATTGAGAGTCAGCACTTGGAGGCAGCTAAGAGTGTGGGTGTTTTTGGATTTTGCACCTTGAAGTTGTCCCATTTGTGTCTTCCGAGCCCTGGTCTTGGCATCTTGAGATACTGTGTGTTTCTCTGGACTGTGTGCCCATCTCTGAATTGATGTCACTATAAAAATCCTCTGAGGATTTCCTGTGCACTTAGGATAAAACCCAACTCCCTTGTCTGGTTTAGAAGTCCTACTGGCCCCAGCGTCCGTCACCTTACACACCACCATCTTCCTCCTTGCTCTCTCTGATCCAGCCGTACCAATTGTGTTTTTGCTCTGTCTTCTGTCACAGGGCCTTTGCACAAACTAATCCTCCTGCCTGCACTGAGTTTCCACCAGAAGGCATCCTTCCCTGACCATTCAGTCTAAGGTGGCCTCCCTGTCACCTGTCATTTGGCCTTGTTGATTTGATTCACCACCTGACATTTTCTAGCTTCTCA